CAGACCTGACAAACTTAACACCACCATTCCCCTTTTATGCAAAGTACAGATCCCTATCAGTTCTTCGCTGGAATTCAGCACAGCCTCTTGTCTTCCTCTATCCAATCTTACTTCCCCATTCTCCTATTAACCTATTCTCTAAAAGTAAAAAGGTAACTTTAGTATTATGTTCTTCCCTCTTGGTTAAAATCCTGTAATGGTTCTGCACTGCCTTCATTCAAACTGAACTGGCCTCACTGGTTACTTCTACAGCTTTACTCTTCCCACTCCTCCTTTACATTCTGTGTTATCAGTTTCCAACAAGACCTCTCCTATTCCTGCTTTTTGCCATTGTCTGTCTAACTGTATGTTCTCTCCCCTAGGTCCACTCTCAAGTCTTAGTTTAGATCATATTACATAAATAAGGGACATCTAGCTTGGCTCCTTAAAATAAGATTGGTGTTATGGCTGTGTAAAGATGTCCCCCAAAACCTTGTAAAGTCTGAGGTGGAGCTGTTTCAGAGGTGAGTGGATCTAGACTGTGTGAGGCCAGAACTGAATCACAGTGCAAAAGCTAGGACCCAGGGCACTAACATTAAGGGGTGAATGCTAGCCACCTTAAGTCGCCTGGATAAGGTATTAGGGGTAAAAGAACTGTGGTTGTTCCCTGCAGCTTTGCTCCTTCTGCCCACTGTGAACTGTTTCTCTCCTCTGCAGTGCCATCCTGCCTTGGAGCCACCCGATTATGGACTACCTCAACAAACTGAGGTAAATAAACCTTTCCTCCTTCAACTCTAGGTGTCACGTATTTTGACTGAGCATTGAGAAAACGAGGGACTGTAAAAGTTTTATTCACTGTAATATAACCCAGATTATGTGCACAGTAACTGAATAATTAATGACAATTCATATTAAGCATTATGCCAGGTTTAAAAAAGAGCGACTTACACCCTGCCTTCTAATTTTATACTGAATTGAAATTAATATAAAAATTTCATACATGGTACATATCTGTAACCCCAGCTACTTGGGAGACCGAAGCAAGAGCATCAGAAGTTTGCGTCCAGCCTGGGCAACTTGGTGAGACCCTGTTTCCAAGCAATGAAAAGGGCTGTAGACGCAGCGCTGCGGCGAACTACTCCCCCAGCCTATGAGGCCCACCACCACCACCACTCACCGCCGCTGCCACCCCCCAAACAAAGAAATGAGTAACAGCACCCCCACAACAGTGATGTGAGGCAGCATGCACATTTAATCATGAGAACCTTCACATTGTCAGACAAAGCAAACCCAGAATAAAAGGCAGTGTCTTTGTCTATACATAATAATCTCTAAAGAAGAGCAAACCAATTACAAAAATCTACTTCAAGGGAACTAGCAGTGTACTTCAGTGGTAGAACACATGCTTAGCATGTGTGAGACTGTAGGCTCAATCACCATAGCACCATCCTCCTACAAGACCTAAAAGCTCAGATTTCATTTGAAGTATTACATTTAATTCTCTACTATTCTCACTAAAAACAGAGATATGGTAGGAACAATCCTCAAATAATAGTATCTGGAAATGTATTACTTTTTTCTTAGCAAATATGTTCTAAAACTATTTGGCCCAGATGTCTTGTGCGCTGGTGAATGATTTGGAGATGACAATGTACAATGTATGTATCACTCTTACCACCCCATGATTCATGTGCTTTAAAATTTGGTTGTAGTTTTCTTCTTTCTTTCTATCTATGAATAAAATGGATTTGAAAAGAAAAAAAATGGAAATAAAATAAAATAAAAATGGCCTAGCCAGGTGTGGTAGCACACATCTGTAATGGAGGACTGCTGCAAGTTCAAGGCCAGCCTGGATTACTTAGACACACTTTGCCTGCCCTTCAAAAAAAGTTTGGCCTAACTTCTGTTCAGTATAATCTGAGAACATGAAATTTATGATTGGAAGCATTCTAGACATGGTAGCGTCTGTATCAGTCTAGGATTTAAGACACATTACACATAATACACAAAATGGAATACACCAAGTAGAAATTCCTGCATGGCAGACAACGGTATGGGGCCACATACAACACATACTATTGTACTGCTATCGTTTCAAAATAAACAGCTACAAAATTGTATGTTTGTATTAAATATTCTACCTAAAAATCACCCAACTGTGTATCTTTGAAAAAGATCGTGTTCACTATGGTCCCACTATTCAGATGTGAGACTGCAACACTGTACAAGAAATGTATATACTTACCCAAAATTCTAGGAATAACTTCTCTAAATCTTAAAAATTCACTGATTTGGCCAGGTATGGTAACACATGCCTGTAATCCCAGCACTGGGAAGGCTGAGGCAGGAGGACTGGTATGAGTTTGAGGCCAGCCTGGGCTACAGAGAGTTCAAGGCCAGCCTTGAACTACGCATCAAGATCCTGTCTCAAAAAGCCCCCCAAAAATCACCCACTTGTCTTCCATGTAATCACACAGAATGGGAAAGAGGTGAAGCCATAATTTTGTATATGCTCATAGAAGAATACAAAACAAGTAAAGATCCATCCTGTGTGGTAGCTGAAAAAGGTTTTGAGATTTCTGTTTAAAGTACAGTCTATAAATACAAAATATAAAATATAGAACAAACCTCAAATCAGTACCTTGAAATTGAATTTTTGTAAAGATTATGAATCACTTAGGCTTGGGTTCAAATGTTAATCTACATTCCACTCAAGTATATTTATACCAATTAGTTAAAATAAGTTACCTTACTTCATTAAACGTTGATCTGAAATTAACTACAAACTGACCTGTATCTTGCAGGGTTATCATGAAACTAACCTAGCATATATATATGGGGTTTTGCAGGCCTTCCACATAACAGCACAATAATTAAGATCCTAGACCCAGTTCTATCACTTAGCTGCTATTTTACTTAACTTATTTAATGTATATCATTACATTATCTTTATTGTAAAGATTAACTATCATAGAACACTGCCTACTAGTAGACACTACCAAAGTTCTAGTTACTATTTATGTTATCCTACATAAGCAAGTCAAGGCTAATCTGCACCACATAGTGAGAGTCACACACAAAAAAAACCTTTTCGTTTTCATCAGCACCATTAATGAAACAAAAGTTACTATTATACCACGAATTATGCCTTCTACTTCTATTTGAAAAAACATTCTTTGAAATAGTAACCTAATTTAGTGAAATGATCATAATACAGGATCACACACTCAATTTTTATGCTGACTTTAAATGCACAAGAAAGTTCCTGAATTGGCTATTGTTCATAAATGCTGACCAATTACATATATCAAACACCTATTCTAAATAAACAAACTTTTTTTTTTTTTTTGCCTTTTTCCTTTTATCGGTACCGGGGATCGAACCCACGACTGCCTGCTTGCAAGGCAGGCGCTTATGCCAATGAGCTAAATCCCCAGCCCCTAAAAAACTCTTTTTACACACTGAAGTACAATACAAAATGGCATGAATATTGTACTTCCTCCCCTAAAGATTTCTAAATAATTTAAATAACCAAATACTATAGTCTTCAAAATATGCAAAATACTTGAGAAAACTGAAGCCTCCGTGATGAAAGTCTGTCTCTAAAATGTCTACCATGTAATTACAAAATGCTGTTATATACTTCAAGCCTCTTTGGTCTCGCACTCGTTAATTAGTTCAAAACATAATATCCAATATACTCAAACCAGAAACTATGCTAAACCCTGATGTAGTAACAGAAAATGAGAAGACACTAAAAATAGGAGGCACGCTACTAACAATATAATTCAATATTTTCAAATTTATAATCTCATTTTCTTTAAACATAGTGAAAGAGAAAACTATAAGCTCTCACAATGAATGCATCAGTACTTAATAATCTGAGCTAAATAACCTCGTGACAATCAAGCATTTTCCCCAAGAGACTTAAGCACCAAATTAAATAAACACCTCTTTACTTCTCCATCAATTACTACTTACCAAGATAAATGTCCATTTCCAATATTAGTTACATACTGCAAGTGATACCACTTAACATGTACTATTTTACTTTTTGCAAGAGAAACAAATTTCAAGTTCCATTAAGCTAAGTATCACTTGCACTCCATCAAAAAATAAACTGCCCTCTTAGTATCTGAAACTGTATTTTTGCTGCAGCAACTAGAATCAATTTACTAATCAATTATTTTCCTTTGATCAACCAACTATTTTCTAAGGAAAAAACTCTCCTCTACCCAATTACATACAACTTACAGTTTATACTATACATTCACAACATTTTACAAAGCAAGAGTTTCCTCAAAGGCAACTGCATCACTATTAAATTTTTTTTTAAATTTAACAAAACTACCCTGCCAAAAAAAAAAAAAAATGTAATCCCGACTATGAGTTAAGAAATCTTAATTTCTGAAGATAACCAAAATCTCAACAGAGGGCCGGGGACAGCAAGTGCGAGGTCCCGAGTTGGATTCCCCACACCAAAAAAAAAAAAAAAAAATCTAAATAGAGACCAACAGCCAAAGTGTAGTTCACCAGAAAAAAAAGGGTCATTAGCATCAAAGTGCCATTACTATCGATAGATGGGCATCATCAGACTGACATGCAGGTAGGTGTCAGAACTAAGACTCTCCTTTCGAGTTCTTTATTCGGGACTATGAAAGTCACAGGAGAGGAAAAACAGTGCTGCCAATTCCTTTTGTGAATGCAGATTAGGCAGTTTTAGTTAACTGCAACACTTTACAAACTGGCTATCAAGTTCCAATTATCAAGTCACTCTGGATAAAGTTTCGCTTTATATTAATAAACAGAATTAAAAGGACGAGTGCGCTTTTCTTGAGGTATACAATATGCAATAAAAAGGCACTAAACACCCAAGGGACTGAAATTCCTTCAGCCACACAAAAAACGGTCCTATGGAATGTCAGTGTGCCAAACAGCAATAACTTAAAAAACATAAAACCGACACACGTTTCCCACATAACACTTGGACAATTAAAAAGTATTAAACTCATTAAACTTACAGGAGGAGGGGAAATTTAATCGAATTTCAAAACCTGTGCCAAATCCAGAATGTCACTCTGTGCTACTCCAAGTATTGAGGCGTGTCATCGGGGTTCCGCACACCAGGAGAACTCAGGGAATGCTGTTGACAGATGAGACGAGAAAAAGTCTCACCAACAGATAGCATTAACAGGTACTGCCGTAACTCAGTCGTAGAATTAGTTAAAAAGAATAGTCAGCTCTGCCCAATTTAACATTCAGGGAAAACCTACTAAATACTGAAAGAGGGAGTTTTTAGGACAGTACAGACTAGAACAGCCCTGAGGTCAAAACAAGAAAATAGCAATGGTCACTTTCGGGAGTCTGACCTGCTTATCAGACTCGGGTAACTCCAGAAGACCCCGCGCCCCGGACACCTGAGACCACAGCCACACCCCAGGCCCGAGCGCCGGCCTCAGCCGACCAGCAGTCGGGCGCGTGTGCCGGGAGGCTGGAGATCCCGGCGCGCAGGTGGAAGCCGGCGGGCGCGGGGACACCGACTCCGCCCGGCCACGGGACAGCGCGGCGGAAGGCCAGGCGCGGCCAGGCGGCGTCCCGCGGGCTGGGGGTGCAGACCCGGGAGCCGGCACGGAGGGCGGGGAAGGAGGCGGGCGCCGGCGTGGGGGCGCGGTTGAGGCCGCGGGCGAGGCGGCGGCCGAGGGCACGGGCCGGGGACCTGGGGGCACGCGCGGCGGCAGCACCCCGCGGCGGGCACGCGCGAGGCGGCGCGGACGGAAGAAAAGGTCCGAATGAATGGGCGCCGGCGAGCCGGGGCCGCGGGCCCAGCGCGCCGCACGAGGCTGAGGCTGAGGCTGAGGCCGCCGCCCGCGCCTCCCCGCCAAGCCGGGCTGCGCGCAGGAGAGCGGTGGACGGGAGGGCCGGGAAGCGGCAGAAACCAATCACTCACCTCCCGGGAGCCTCCAGGCTCGCAGCCCCGCTCCTCCGCCCTCCACCAGCGGCGACGGCGGCTCCTCAGCGGCGCTAGGGGGAGCCCCGGCCCCAGAGTGGGGAAACGCGGCGGCCGCACCGGGAGCCCCTCCGCACCTGCCCCTGTGGCGGAGCCGTGACGAGGCAGGTAGCAGCGGCAGCGGCAGCGGCGGCAGCTCTAACTCCGAACGGGGAGGGCAAGTGACCCGGATGTACAGGGTAACGGCGAGGAGGGGGAGGGGGGAATGCCAGGAAGTGAGGGCGCCGCGGACCTGTCCGGCCATGCGCATGCGCCGCGCGCCCGCCCCTAGGTAGACCCACAGCCCTACTTCGCCGCCGCCGCCCGTCCAGAAAGGGGCGGGGCGAGGCAGGAGACAGGTGGTCTCGCGGACGCGGCGTGAAGTGCGGAGAGCGGAGGGGCGCGGCCAACCCCTCCGCGCCCCCTCCGCCTTCCTTAAAGGGACAGCACCTCCGCTCTGCCATTGCTTCTGGCTGAGTTGGGGTCTCATTACACGCAAGGGAGACAGAGGTAGTGGTCAAGGGCTCGGACGGCAAGAAGTAGAACTCTGGATGTGCAGGGAAGGCTAGCTGCTGAACTCTGCGAAGCTGCCACATTCCAGCACCCCACGCCTGGGGCACGACCCGGTTCTTGGCAAGGTTTTCTCCCTCGGGCCAGGTACTGGGCCTCCCTCGCGCTTCCTCACGCGGCGCAGGGGCTTGGCAGGCTCCCCAAGCACCAAGATGCACCGTTATCGTTGCGATGGTATCTCGGAGACGCCCTTGGGAGGTGTTAACTGATCAGCCTCGGAACAGAAATCAGAGGCCTCTGGAGATCGTGGCGTGCCACGCGCCACACTGCCACTTACATCAGACCCTTGTCCTGGGGTCGATTCTGCGGAAATGTGGTCGAGGGTGCGGCCGCTGAATTACTTCCCTAATTCTCCTGTAACTCCTGGAACATAAATGCTTGCTTTCCCTCTTTACATATAAAAACAGAACATGCCACCTAACTAGCTCATCCCAATCCTGTTATAAAATTCTCAGATCTTTTCATGAACAGAGTATGAAAGATGAGCCTTCATAGTTCCCTGGAGGATTTTCAGTTTGCTGAGCATAGGACTAAGATGGAGATAAAAGGGGTCTGAACATTTTGGGGAAGGGGTACAACTGAAAACCCCAGAAATGGGACTTTCCTTTCCAGGAAAATGCACATTTGAACACCAATTTGCATATGATTTCTGATTTATGAACAAAGGGATCTTACTTATAAAGCTCTATTCATGAACTCCCACCCTCATCAAAGAGATAACATCCTACAAATAATTGCCTCACTAGATGAGTAAAGTACTCCTTGGCCCAAATACAGAACAGCTTGTACCTTATCTAACCTGTTCTCTTGAGTTACAAGGAGATCAAACAGGATGCAAATGGTACACATGACACAGAAACATGTTAAGAATCATAGAAAGACAACAACCCTGATTATATTGCAGGAGGACTTGGAAGATTCCACACTGCATCTATTATAATTTTATCTATTTTGATTAAACTGAGTAGGTTTTGAAAATCTTAATGCTGACAAAACTGTCCTCAAAATCCAAGAAGTTGTTCCACTTATCTGCCACACTGACACTCACTGGTCCCCCACCATACCCACCGTCCTCCCTTTGAACCAGAGGAAAAGTTTACACACCTTTCCAGTCCTAAAATATGAGCTCATAAACCTTAACCCAACCTCTCACCCTAAATAGGAATTCCTCCCAGGATCAACACCTGAACATCCGCTTTAGCTTAAGAATCTGCAACTGTAGGGAGCTCATTAGTACAACTGTCTGCTGCCTGTGAGAAACCTCTTCTTTCATCCTGAGGACAAATCAGGTACCCATCATTTTCATCCATTGGTCCTAGTTTTGTCTCTGGGGGAGCAAGACAGAGATGACACCAGCCTAAAGAACTTACAGTCCAGCAAAGAAAAACAGTCCACTGATGAGTGGTAAAGTAAAAGGGATGAGTCTTGTGCAGATGGTAGAGTATCTATCTTCCCAGAGACCCCTTTTTCCTTTTCAGCCCAAAACCTGATCCAGATTCGCATGAGAATGCGTAAGAAATCTCTATTACTCCAACCAGGGAAGGTGGCTCCTGAAAGACTCTACAAAAAGTGATGATGAGTTTATTATTCTACAACCCTTTTCTCATCATTCTGCATGAGTACAGTTATCATTTCCAGGAGGGCAAAACTTTAAAAGTTTCACATTGCAAAAAGAAGCAGAAAGACATCAAAAAGACGTTTACTCAAGAGCACTGGCTTCTTCGGGATGATACAGTCACTGTGACTGGCTGGCATCTCTGGAGCCCTTAACATGTGCCACGTGCTGCACTAAGCCCTGACTTGCATGTTTTCCTTTGCTGTCCACACCTGACCCATATGGTACTAGTCCCATGTCCACCTGATAAATGAGGAGTCCAAGCCTCAGTAGGTGACAGGTCCAGGATCTGAACCCAATCTGTGAACTCCACAGTTTAGCTGTTTCTCCATTTAAACTGTTTCCTCTGTCTACTTTCTTCAATTTCAAAAGAGCCTGCTGCTTTCCCATAAATGCTATTTTTTTTTACTTTCTTAGGTCTTATAAATGTATTTTAAGACCTTATAGACAATAAACTGTCTTGTTCAATGCATTCAATGAGCATGCCCCTTTTGCACCTCTGCTGTGTCCTAGGTATCACATTAAGGGTCTGGGATGGAAGATGTGTGGAGCTCAGAGTTTACTAAGAGGAAAGGCTATAACCCCACAATTACAAAACATCCTGACTTGTTATAATTTAGTAAGTCAGATGGAACCAACTCTCCCTGGTACAGGTATGCAGGATAGGTTCTTTGCACTTGACCTTGAGAGGGAAGACAAACAAGAGAAGAGAGGAAAAAGCACAAGGGCAGACAGAAAAAAGTTGGTGACACTCTAGGGATAAGACAAGTGATTAAACTGTAAAGTACAGCATCTTCCATGCAAAGGCATTTGAACTTGACTGCTGAAGGCAATATCAAGGGAAAAGAAGGGATCAAAGGAGAGACAAACTCAGATATGTTTCCTCCCAAACTGTCTTGGTCCACAGTGTTCCACATGAACTTCATGGAGAGAAAGAAAGGAGCCCAGAAGACTAGATAAAAGCCTGCAGAGGGGGCTGGGTGGGTGAGTGATAGCCTTCAACTGTGGGTACACCTTGCCTGATAGACACAGGTCCTGAGTTTAATCCCCAGCACTGCCGAAAATATCAACCATGCCCAGTGTGGTAGCACACAACCGTAATCTCAGCACTTGGGAGGCTGAGGTAAGAGGATTGTTCAAGTTTGAAGTCAGCCTGGGCAACACAGTGAATTCAAGGCCAGCCTGAATGCACAGTGAAACCCTATCTCCAAAACAATTAGGAAAAAATCAACCAGAAATTACAGTATAGAGTAGGAAGCCGGTAGTGGGGATGAAAAATAACAATAAGAATTAAAGATACTTGGTACTACAGAATCTACAGGATTTTGTGAATGGTTAAAGCTGAGGTAAGAGAAAACAGGAGCTATAGGAAATGACTCTAAGGTTCCTAGCTTAAAAATACCTGGATGGGCATACCTTCTAATCCTAGAACCATTATATACTTTTCATTGCTTTTTCCTGACTTTCATCCGTCTAAATGCACTTTAACTGGCATCTCTGCATTTGTGCAACCATTTCCCAATTCCTTTCTGTATTTCTACACAGTTGCAGCCATCATTTTAATAGCACAGAATATTTCACCATATTGGAACAGCTGTGTTCTTCAGTTGCTAAAGGTCCACCCGATACAAGCCTGGCCTACCCTAGACTCACCCAGTTCTGGGCATTTTGCAAGGGATAAACTGAGCCAGGAAAGCACCTTTAGGTGAAGGGGGTATGGAAAGTGTGGCCAGAGGCCAGCAAAGCTGCAGCTCTCCTGGGAGAAGCCTAGGCAATTGTCTTGTGCCATTCAGTAAGTGCAGGTACCTAAAGAAGAATTGTTGTTGCCTCTTCATCCAGGTTTACATTTTTTTTTCTTTGTGTCTTTTTGAGACAGGGCTTTGACCTTGAAGTGGTCCTCCTGCCTCAGCCTCCCAAGTGCTGTGATTACATGGGTGCACCACCATACTCGGCGTTTAGGTTTACATTTGAT